TGGTGTTTGCCTCTTTATATTGCACAAGAACCATATCGTGTGTTAAGGAAGCTCTGCATGGTTCAAGAGTCTTCTCCTAGGTACAAGTTTTGTGATGTTGAAGCCCACGCATTGAGTCAAAATTTTTAGGTCCCCATCCAGCATTGAAGAACTTTTGGAAAGGAACTTCTAAACTCCTCCAAAAGTAATCTGGTTTACATGCACCAGAACTGTTTCTGTGAATGGAATCAGTAAATGGAGAGCATCAGGGGATTTGCTTCAAAATTGCACATTTGCTCCAAGCTGGAACACAAATGTAAACACAGAATTGTTATCCCACTCATTAGTACAGTCCATATCACTCAAGGCAATCTCAGCTGTGTGAATGTGCAGCTTCTGTGTTCACTCAGGACTGTATTTGATCCTGTGTCTTCAGCCACCTCCCCTCACCCTTTTTTTCTTTCCCAGATACAAGCTCCTGAAAGACCATAGTCCTCATGAATATCCCCTGCCCGAGTCCTCACATTTCATTTCACTCAGTCCTAGAAGTTTATTCCACCAACACGTCTGGCAAAAACTCTTCAATTTATTGGGGTTTAGTGGGTCACTGTTTTTTGTAAATACCACTTAGAAAAAAATCTGAAAACAAAGAACCTCTTAGTTATTGGAACCATGGAGGCCTGGAGGCTCTTGCATGCATGGGTATAGAAAGAAAATAGCTGGCCAGTGTAATTCCCATTCCATTTTTTTGACTCAAGAAACTTGCCATCATCACACTCTACATGCCAGCAAATTGGGTGCGCTGTCAGGAAAAGAATGAAGATGAGAAAGGAGTCCTGCCAGCGGGAATTTCTCAGCACTGGTTTCCTGTATAACAGTCAGCCTTTTTTATAAATAGAACCTCATTCCATGCAATGATATAATATTAATCTGTCACCATATTTGGCACAACCATAGGATCATGAACTGCTTGCTTGCTAATTACCATTTGAGCTCATGCATAGAGCACAGGCTGTGATAATATTAGCTTGGTCAGAGTCACAAGTCTGTCAGTGCCAGCAACAATTCAGTGTCTGTTTCCAGTCTCTGAAAGCACCATATCTGCATCCTTTTGTCCCAGGAGATAAAATCCTGGACTCCCTCTCTTAGGATGAATAATTTGTCTTGTCACTCAGAGCCCTAAAGGAAAACCATGTGACAATTTCTGTTAGCTGTGCATATGAGAAAAAAGTTTTTAAGAAGAGAAGTAAATGTATGTATACCAAGCATGTTTAACTCCTATTTATTAATTGTTTTAAAAAGCTTGAAAAGCTTCATCAGACTCCAATATGTAGGAGAAACAATTTGTTACCCCATGTCTTGTAAGAAAATTAGAAGAAGGGCTGGAGGAAGCCCAAAGCCGTCATTACAAAAGCACTATTCCTGCCAGGAGCTTTCTCAAGCAACCAAAGGGAAAATGATGTGGATATGATTCTTTTAAGTTTTACAGTTGCCCAAATAGTTCTGAATGGTGTCAGAGACACTAATCAGTCATTTATCAGTTTCCCCCTGCTGCTTCTCATGAAAGCTCTTGATTAGCTACAGAGGTCCTAGGCTGGGCTGTCTGCAGGCTAAGGCAGACGGTGCCAATCTGATGTATTCAGCTCACACCCAGAAGACTGCCTTCAGCCAATATAGATTTAAATTTTTCCTTATTTGAATCAAAAAGTCTGTAGGAACTGATGATTTAAGTCTTTTAATTCAATAGGTGAGCTTTCCAAATCCAAAAGTTTCTGAATTTATTAGAACTGGATAGTAGTAAAACAGTAGTAGCCTTTGTTACATTGCCATTTCAGTCACATTGCCATTAGAGACAGTGGAAGTTTAGACAAAGATACGGGACCCATGTCTGTGTTATAAAATCATTTCTTAGCAGTTTCACTGAAATTGCATAAAATAGTTTCCATTTTTCAAATTTGTATGAAACTGAAAGTAATTTCCTTCTAGAGAAAAATATTCTAATCCTCTTTAGAAGGATTAAACTGTAAAGATTGCTAGCAATACAAAGTAGATCTGTAGGTGGATTTTATACCTGTCTTTTCAGTCTTGTAGCTGATAAATGAATCGTTACCTATTTCATATTATGGAGCAAGTCTGTATTCTTAAAGGCATTCAGTGCAAAATATTCCCTCAGCAAGTGAAGACTCAAGGTTGACTAATCTTACTTATGTTACCCTCTACAGGTAAGGTATGATTCCTGCATCTGAAGGTGTTGGCCAAGCAACCATCTAGCAGAAAGCATCTAAATTGTAGAGGCAAAGGAAATAATAATAATATCACCTTTTTGATATCCGCCTTTATGCAAAGGGATCTAGTCCAGCCACTGTTTACCCGTGTGAGTTATTACCAAGAGAAGTACAACTGCAATCAACAGAATGACTCCAGAAAGTTAAGCAAGTATATCAAAGCGTGCAGGAACAGAATTCAGGAAAGATGAGTTAATTGGAAATCTGAGAAACACAGCTGGGAAGCTATGCACTGAGTTCCTGAGATAAGGGCCCATATTTTTAATTACCTAGGTGGAAAAGAACAAAGTTAAATTATTTTTAGGAAGTACTAAGAACATATGTCTGATGTGCTGTGCAATAAAAAAAACCACAGAGATGTCAGTATTTGCTAATTATTCTTGCACATTTAGCAGAAAAAATCCCACGTCTATTGATCAGTAACTGAACGTTAAGCTTCCTCTTATTTTGAGGATGATGAATAAAAGTAAACTGGCTTTGGTAGTTGGTGTTATGTAGTAAATCAAACTTTTGTCAACAGTTACCTGAGTAAATGTGGACATTTTTGTGAACACCAGAAGTATGCAGATTTGCTGCATCATTTCATTGGAGTCCCTCACAAGTGTGAGGGCAATGCTTATGTGTTGACTGTGAGAAATAATCTTTCTGGAAGCGTGTGTAACCAGCTCAAGAAAGCAAATTATTGTACACTTTGTCTCTAAAATCTTTGGAAGATCTTATGAAACAGTGTAAATGAGTTAAGGCAGGCAGTAGGCAACTTACAATTTGTCCAACCTGCATGTTCGGAGTAAATCAGTCCTTATCTAATTGTCCTTGCTTCTAAGCCTAATTGTCCTTGAGAGTATTATAAGCTGGTATATTTTCACACAAATGAAATGCTCAGGAAGAATTTGTGAAATGCCTTAGGCACAGGTTTTATTCTACGTCAGATGCTTCCTGCAGACATGCTTTCAAGGCTTTGTCTACAGCAATTGTGTAGCTGTCAAAAGGAAAATACCATTCCTGAGCTCTTTTTTCACATCTCTCTTCCAGTATTTCATCATATTGATTCACTGCAGGTGTGTTTTTGTTTTGTGGGCATCAGAGGTATGTAAAATGACAGTGCCTATGTTTGTCCAGAAAAGACAAGAACTTGTAATTCCCGAAGCGCTGGCAGCTGTTGGTTGCACAAGCTACTCTGTGTATAAACTGTTTTCCAAACAGAGGTCTGGTTTAGCAACCATTTAAAAGCCCAAAAGGCACACAATGTATTCTTTCCAATTAGCACGTGTACCTGCAATTTAGAGCACAATGCACCGATATAATATTAAGACTTATAAAATATGATTTAGGATCCATTGTATCTCATCAGCTGTACTAAAAAGGAAAAGCTGAAGCTGAAAATTTCCAAGTTAGAAAAGACAGTACAGACAATTACTGAAAGCATACAGATTTTCTGATTCTCCTAAATGAAATAAAAACTGAGGAATTAACCCATTCATCATAACCTTTATTTTTTGATTTTTTCTTGTTTTACTTAATTTTTAGATCCTATCCTCCCCTCCTGAAGATGCCCCTATGCCATTGCCCTGGCTAGTGCCGCACTCACGTTGTTTGTTTCAGTGATGCCAACGCGTCCATCAGCATGACCAAGAGCTGCAGTTAAGCGTATCCGTGCACTGTTCCCATTGCTCTCTTAGGAAATGTGCCATGAGTACCCAACTGCTCTGTCCCCTGTTGCAAACATACTGCCTCCCTGCCACAGACCCAAAAATCAGTTCAGCTTGGACAGGACCTCTGGAGACCACCTGGTCCATCACCCCACTCACCACAGAGCCAACCTACATGGGGTTTCCCAGGGAAAGCCATTCTCAAAAGCAATCTGCAGGGTCCAAGTCATGCCTTCACTGCACTCCTTCAGCTGTACCTGGTGACAGTCCCCACAGGCAGTGGGAGGCCAGGTCCTGCTCAGGTTTTATGTTTAGAAGTACATTCAGTCCACTCCTATGAGACTGTCATATTGGCATGTTTTCCCAGGCCGTGGATTTTCTCAGCTAGTGGCTTTGGGGGAGCAACCACATTAATGAAGATTCAGCATATAGGCGTGCTTTTGTGCGTGTGTTTCTGCAATGGTGTATCACCACCTCAGGGCACAGTGTATCCCCTTGGGGCAGAAGCCCTGCTGCTGCATCCCTGTCACGGCACCCACCACCACAAGGCACACGGTCCAGTAAGAGAAGGAGCAAATAACCTCCAAGGAGGCTACTCCCCAGTGACCACAGGACACATGTCTGAACAGCAAGTCCTGTGCCAGTCCGAGGCTGTGGCCAAACCCATACATACTTCATAGTCAAGCTGGTAAGACACTGGAGCAAGGGCTGTGACCGTGCTCCAGAACCCAGTGGGGGCCATGGTTGAGGTCTCCTTGCTCAAGAACACACATGTCCCACCCAAGGTGTGGGTGGCCAGGCACAGGTAGCCGTGCACGCTCAGCCCTCATGCCAGCACTGTCCAGGCAGGGGACATCACAGCAGCTGCTGGCCAGTAGGCAAGATTGCCTGTGCTTCAGGTGATGGAGCACATAGCTTTTGAAAAAAACAAACCTGTCACACCATTTTGCATGCTCCACAAGAGCCACTTTGCCCCATGACACTACCTGCTGTCCCACCACAGGGCAGTTTCCCTGGGAACCAAGAGTGAAAGCAAATTTCTGCTACTTAAAAATTAAGTTCAATCATTTAGCAGTCACCAAGGCTGATGGATGAACACCCACCCTTTGCCTCTGTCCCCCTGCCTGGTACAGCTGCCCCTACCTGGAGCAGCTGGTAGTCAATGTCAGCTCACTTTCCATGTGGGTAGAGGCTTCTCAATTTTCTTGGTGTTAAAAAAATCAGTGCTTTTTCATGTTTGAGCTGTCGTGTGGTGATTCCTCAGGTGAAACAGATCAGGAGTTGACAGGAATATTGACAACTTATTTTTCCTTCCAGAACAATGTCATTACTTGTGTTTTTGAGGACTACTAACCTTATGTATAAAACATATTTCGGTTAAAGGGGTACTGCCAACTGACCAAAAAAAAAAAAAACCCAACCACAAAAAACAACCTTTGTTATTACCTATGTGTGTTACAAGCACTTTTGACAGTAATCTGGTGTTTCCTTTGAATATCCAGGTTATTATTATATATCATTTTCCCCCTTTGTTTTGTGTGAGCCTTTCATATTAAAATGAAGAAATCAGTCTCACCAGAAAAAATGTGATTGTACTGGTAAAAAAATGGCCAGGGATTCAGGATGTAATTTATTTTTTTTTAAACAGGGTGTGCAATTGAAGTTGTACCTTTAGTTTTTATATTAAATGCTTAATCACAGCCTAAAATTCTGTGACTTGTTTTTAAGTAACCTAGCTTTGAAGCTCAGGATGAAAAAGTGTGTTGCTTTAATGATAACTGTGTAGGTTCTCATCAAAAGGAAAGTTTGGTCTCATTATCCCATTGTTCTCCTTTTCTTTTTTCTCCAAGCTGCCTGTCTCGTCCTCGGTTGTATGATTTTTCCTGATGGCTGGGATTCAGATGAGGTAAAACGGATGTGTGGTGAAAAGACAGACAAGTACACGCTGGGGGCTTGTTCAGTCCGCTGGGCATATATCCTGGCGATTATTGGAATCTTGGATGCCCTGATCCTCTCATTTCTGGCATTTGTGCTTGGCAACAGACAAGACAGCTTGCTAGCAGAGGAGCTCAAGTTGGAAAACAAAGGTAGGACTGCTTTAGAAACACTATTATTGGGTGGCCTCGAGGGCAATTGCTTAAAAACAATGATCGGTTTCATTTTATTTTATACTTAAAAGTTGGCATGCTGGCTTACTTGCTAAGTTGCTGGGAAGTAAGAAATGCAAGGGGCAGAGAAAGTTTTTTGCTTCAAAATCTAAGAAAGCTCAAAATTGCCATAATTGCTGCACTATGCATGACTTCAGAATTTGTAGAGCTGTAGATGGGATGGTTTTGTGTGTGTTACACACTTGTGCATTATTTCATTAGCATTTAAGTTTCACTATCTCCATCTTTTTCTGTACCCCATGGAAGATTTGTTCATTTGGTTCCTTTAAGATTTTGCATTGAAATATGAATGGCTGTAATATGGCATTCCACTATACGTGTTAGCAGAGTACACAGTAAGGAGGGGGGGTTGGTTTGGCAGATTGGTAATGAGCTGTGTAATGGGACCGCGTATACAGCGAGGCACCAGTGGGCTAAGGATCAGAGCCAGGAATGAAGAAGAATCCTCGTTCTTGTTTGATTGTGTTGCTTTGAGCTCGTTAGTCAGCTCACAGGAATCTAGGATGCTGTAGTAACTGAATATTCATGCAGCGGGTTGAGTATAAAACACATTTCTAGATTAAGAACGTGAAACTGGCTCGGCGCAGTAGTTTATCATATGGTTGCAAGAGGAGAGATGCTGTTCAGTGAGAGATGCAAGCCTGGCTGATGCCTGCAGCCCCTTCCCCTCGTACTGCCCCAGCATCCACAGCTGTGTATCTGATGTGACAGACACCACAGAGAGCACATCCCTGCCTTGTCTTTCTAATGGGCCTGTTGTCCCTGGGTCTGTCTAATCCCTTCTGAACCTGCTGATACTGTCGGCTTCTACAGCACTGTGTGGCAGTGAGTTCCTTAAGTTCACTACTGATTGCTAAAGTACTTTCTTTTATCTGTTTCACGTTGATTCCCTACTATTTTCACCGAGTGTCCCCTAGTTCAGGATTCTGCATTCAGCTCGTCCACCACCTTTGTAATTTTGTAGGTTGCTTCTAATAATAGCAAAGATATTAGGAGCTCTTCACCACTGGATTGGAAATCAAAAGCTGTTTGGCAGCCTGTGTTGTACAAAAATAGCTGGTCTCAGTCCTGCTCCAGAAGGACCATTATCCGTCTGTCTGAAAGCACCAGCATACTGGCCCCAGCTTGCTGAATTTCAGACAGTCAACACACTCAGCCCGAAGATAAATGGACTTCAAGACTGAACTTCACATGTGATTCCAGACCTGGTTAGAGCCTACTAATGTTAAGGAAAGCGTATGTTGCTTGCGATTGCATGTGTACTTCTTTTCTGCAGGTAAACTGAAGGTACCAGTTTCAAGGACTATCTCTGTGGCCCTTTTCTGTAAGGATCATATTCATCTGCATTTGAAAATTAAAATACTCATCAAAATAGTATTCACAGCTATGCCACAAGTGCTTTTGGCATCAGCACTGTGTCTGATTTGTTTATACCATACAGAGCTCATGAACTCTACAACTACTTGTATGAAAGAACCTCATCTGTTTTGGCACCTTATGAGTAAAAAACAGCTTCTGGAGGCTCATCACCTCTCACATCGCTGGCACAAGCTTCTGCCAGAACATTTGGTCCTCAGCATGTTGGACAAAATAATTCGCTCATTTTCCTTGAATTAGGCACAGAAATGTACCACACCACGAGCTTCAAAGCAAACCAGAACTCAACAAAAAGGGACCCACCTCACTTTGCCCTTCACAGTCAACCGTAAGGTCCACCACTTCTTAAACTCTCTTTCAAATGAAAAGAAAAAAAGGTGACTTGTCTTCTAAAAAGGTCATCCTCTCCCCCCTTGTCACAGAAAGCTTCTGCTAAGCAGCAACAGGACAAGTCTAAATCCCCGTGCAGCCCCCCAGCATTTCCCTACCTGCGTGCGTTGCCTCTGGCCACAGCCACAGCTCTGGAGGAGTCCCAGGAGAGCAGGGCAGGGGCATGGATGGACACCACCACCCCCATCAGAGGTGGGGTACTGGTGCCAGCAAAGCACCAGCTCTCCGCTTAGCTGACCAGAGATCAGTCCTTCTTCTGGCCTTTTGGACTCTAGGAAAGCCTGCCTGCATCCTACTGTGCAAATATCACACATGAAACAAGACATGAGTACTTGATTCCCTCCGGTGGTCTCTGATCTCTGTACAAGACAGGCTGCAGCTGTCTGTCCACCATGCTGTGCTGATGGAGCTGGCCTTTGGTCATGGTCCCCGTGAACCAAGGAGGGGTTTCTGCCAAAAAGGTTGCACTCTGAAGCTGGCACTGGCATGTGTAGGTAGTACTCATACATTTTTGCAGCTCGAAGTCATTTGACTGTGGATGCTGCCCACAGTGGTTAGGAGGCAGATTTTGGGTTCATATGGCCAGGGTTGTGAGGCAGGTTTTGTAATCCTGGCAGTCACTGTCTGCATGCTCAGGTGACCAGTTTGGGGCAGTGGTCTGTGGTTAGAGATGGTGTTGATTACTTACATGGTAATGACAGAGAGGATGGTAGAAGATTAGGGCCAACATTTGTCCTTGAGTTGGCTCCAGACAACCTCCTGTCTATACCGCTGGCACACACTGCACATACCTGAAGGATTTGACACTTACCCCATAAACTACCCCTTGGCCCCTTTTGGGTTCAAAGATACTGGAGAAATGCTCACCAGCATTAGTCCACATCCAGAGTATCCATGTGTCTCTTAGAAATGGTCAGGATGCCAAAATACTGAAATATGCAAATATCAGTAGCATGCCTGCCATGTGGATAAGAAGATAAGACTGAGGATATAAGCAATCCCACCCTCAGCCTCCCAAGCTACTCTTACAATGTGAAGTCAAAGCTCTCATAAGAAGTAGCCATGAATATTAAACACACCCCATCCCTTTTTCCCCCTCCTCACCTACATGAGGTATGCCTCCAGGCTTGTGCTGGCTTCTGCTTCTGGATTAGCAGATATGGATGAGGACTATCCTAAAGGAGGAGTCCCTGGGCTGCTGCTGTCTTCCAAGGGGCCAAAGGTGTGGCCAAATGGTCAGGGCTGTCTATTGGGTGGGATCTCAGGGTCTCCTTCCCCTTGGTGGTGGTGATGTCCTCTGGTCACAGGCGTGGACATCCTAAAGCCTGTGATAAGCATGGTGTCCCCTTAAGGGGCAGTCATGGCTTCATCATGGCTTCTAGGGAGAATGCACCTGGGGAGCAACCAACACTGTATCAAGAGGAACCTCCTCTTGCCCTGTCAGCTCTTCTCTGCTGCTGGGGCTTTGCCCCACGCATTATGCAGTAGGTCAGCAGAGGGGAAGAGACAGTGAATTAAGTATAACAGTCACAACAATGTTCATTTATGTGGGAAACCCTTCAAGAACAAGAAATTATTAGGCAATGATCAGACAGCTGGGCAGCTATTTTCTTAATTAGGTGATAGTTCTGTCTGGAGGCTTTACTGCAGATCAGGTCCTGCAAGCTCGTTAATGAGAGTCTCCTGACACCACAGCTGTTTCTGAGCACTGGTGACAAGGAAACAGTTAAAAGTATATGGAATGCAACAAGATGGTAAAAAGTTGAGAAGATGACAGAAAAGGGCAAGCTGTATGTCTCTGTAGACTTGCCATACTGAATTGTCCACCTCTTCTATGCTTTTGATGACTTCAGTTCTGTATATTTACATAGGTTAATGAATGCTCGTAAGTAATGAGTTTGACTGTTAAAATTATTGATGGGAGAAGACCGCAAAAATGCCATACAAGAAAGTTCTCTTTTTCAATATAGGATAAAAATAGTGCTTATTCATTTCTTATTTGCTTAGGTGTGAGAGTAAACTACTGTGTGGGTTTCACGTCTGAGACATGTAACTCAAGTTTAGCAGACTCTCTTCAGGTTATACTCTGTTTAACGCAGATTCCTAATCATGCAAATTTACACAACAGTCCATACCTTTTTCATTTAAAAAACTGCCTTTTGAAGAAAAAAAAGGTATTTCGAAAAAGACTTTCACATTATATTTGTGCCATTAGCAAAAGGAGGGGAGACAACAGTATTACATGGTTTTCTTTAATTTATAGGAACTAATGGTAATGACTTAAAGGCCTGTATGTTATTAAACTAATGCATGCAGGGTGATAACAAAAATAGTCAGAATTCATCTTAGCTTTAAGCTTCATCAACACCATTTTGAGTGAGCCATCAACAGCAGGCATAAACCTTGATGTGTTGTGTAATGACATAATTTAACATTTTGAACTGTAATGTCTTAATGACATAAAATTAAAGTTCTGGCCAAAGGAATAAGAGGCCAAATGAGAAGCTTCCAAAAGAAATTGAGAGTGCAAGGCAATTACTTTTATGGTAGAAAGTGGTAATTTGGTCTGCATTATGAGTGATAAATACAAGACCATTCAGAAGAAACTATACTGTTAAGTAATATCAGTCAGAGAAGGTGCACTTTGTGGACAGCTGTGGCTTTTCTGATGGATAGAACAGCTTCACAAAGTGTTTATTTTTAACATTTGACTCATCTTTGGGGCCATATGGTCACAGATAAGCAATTTGCACTCTAGATTTCCTGGAGTTACAAGCCTAGGGCTGAAATAGATAAAAGGGCTGGGGAGCTAGACAGGAGATTTGAAGGATTCATCTACCTTGCAGTGATTGCAGCTCACACGCACTCAAACTACACCACATTGCTCCCAACAGCCATGTTGCAGAGAGCTCGGCACAGAGCTCAGTGCAGGATGCCCAACCCAGGACTTGCCAGTTGGTTGACACGTACGCCCTTATTATTCTCTGTGCCAGTGCTGTCAGGGCCTGATCCAGGTTGTGGAAGGCTGGCTCCACACATCTGCCTGAGCTGCAGTCACTGCAGAATAAACACGCTTAAAGACAGAAGATAAGGGGAAGTTGTTTCTTGGTGACAGTTTTCTGTAAAAGACAAAAAAATAGTCTTGCATGGAGATTTGCGCACCTTTGGCTAGAGAATCGTCCTCTGTAAACAGGAATAGTCTACCCACATGATTGCTGCTGCAACAGAAAACCATCTGCAAAAGCCCTGGTATCTGAAGCTGAGTGACAGGAGGCTAGCGGTGTGCTTGTCCCGTCGAGGGACTACATGACAGAGTGCGCATCAGCTGTCATTCTTCACCAGGAAAATAGCTGAGGTCATAAAGCATGTGCAAACTGCTGCAAAATTGCAAAGCCCTGCTTATCAGCATGTAGTTCTCATGACATACACTCACAAACATTCAGGCTAACTTGTTCAAAATTAGATTAATAGACATATGAATATTGATACCTGATTTAAGTTTTCATATATAGCTACAATGCATAGAAGAATTGCCAACAGCTCCAGTAATAATAAATAGTACAGATCCAGTCAGAACACCATGTATACCCCTGTAGACCCATGTTCTCTATCCAATAAGATTATACAGTCCCTTTTTTGTAAAGTTCTATACCCCCAGACTCCTCCTGATACAGAAAAAGTCAGTGTATGCACCTTTTCATTTCAGTTAGCATGTGCTTTTCAAAAATAATAATACTTTCAAAAAGGAAGTGCAGGATTCCTGTTACTCTCTTCCCTTTTTCACCCTGGTATTTCTCTTCATGTCTGCTAGTCTCCTCCCATCCTTCCCTTCTAAAGAGTTCAAGAGTGATCCAGTTCAGCTTCTTGCTGCTTCAGTGTGTGGTTCCATGTTCAAAGTACTTAAGGTGGCTTTGAACTCAGAACCAGCTTGGCCATTTGAATTTCCATTTGAGAAGGCAAATGTGGAAGAAACTCATGGGGGAGTGATCTGTGATGTATTGCTGTAGACAGGCCACCACATGCACTTGCCAGGCTGCAGCTGGCCAGAGGAAGCTGGAACTATGTCAAAAGGTTTATGCTCCTGCCTCAAAGGAGAAGTATTTAGGTTCCCCGCTTTTCAAACGCAAAATCAGGCTCTTCTTTGAAGCCCACAGCCATAGGTTCCAGGCTGAGAATTCTTGGCCCTCATTTCTTGCTTCAAAACATGATTCTCTGCCATGTCAGCCAAGAGCAAAGTCTTGTCACAGCTGTGAAGAGCTCAGATGTTCTCTTTCAGCTTCAGCTTACAAGTGGCTTATCTATCATAGCATCACTGCAATTAGCTCCAGTTGTTAATTTCTTTGTTTAATTACAACCTATTTTCCTTCATGTATCACCTCCACAAGGAGCTACAAGGAGCTCTGAGTATAAAAGAGTAGGCAAGTAGTACAAGACATATTTCATCTAGAAACCTGCAAGTAGGCGACAAACAGACTTTTTTAAATAAAGCTTTTTCCCCAAAGTTTCCTCCTTTAGATAATGGGGACCATTTGCCTGTGATTTCAACTATAAAAATAAGATTGTAAAAAGAGAAACTATAAAGACAAACATTGAGATTTCATTGTGCTGACATTAGAGGGAACTTCATCTCTCCAGGATGAAGATTCTCATAGCACTGCTGTAGGATCTATGCCCAAGGTATGAACTTTCATCCAAGGGCTGTATGAACAGTCATTGGATCCAAATCCAGGACTTTCCTTTGCAGTGCCTTAGTGTCATGCACTCTCTTGCCCAGTGTGTGCTAAATTCTGTCACACAAAGCAGAACAGCTCCTAAGGATTTTTGGGCCCCCTCCTCCACGGTATTTTATGTAGGACACTGTTGTTGGAGATCAGAGGGGAAGTCTGAGAGCCTCCAACTTGAGGAGAGAACCTCCGCAAACTAAGGCAGTCAGAAAATCAAAGTATTTTCAAGGTTTTAGTAGAAATGGGGGGGGAGATGGGGGACAAACTGGCGTTAAGAATAGCTGAGTTTGATTCCTCATTCTCTTACTGAGCTTGAATCTATCATTTGGTTTCTCAATTTCTCTGTCTTTTAAATGGGGGGGAATGAGACTGACTTTGTTGATAAGGTACGCTACAGTTCAGCAACGGAAGGTGAATTAGAAAAGCTAAATAGTGGTGGAATTATTATTAAAGTATGTATTCTGAGACTAAGCCTTGAAAAAATTATTTTATCAGGGAACTACTTTACC